AATGCTAGCTATGCACTCACAGAAGTGAGAGATTAAATCCACTTGCTCTACAGGAACCCTCCTTCTTATAATGTGCTGTCCTATGCTCGTGTGTCCATCATTCCCAACCACACGTGGCCTGGAGCAAGGTATTCAGAATGAGAATCTCCTTTGATGCTTGTAAATGGAAAAAACAATTTTGAAATGAAAAAACAGAAAAACAAATCAAAGCAAACATTCACTCAGTAACCAGGAAAAAAAAATCACTTGTCATTCTATAACATCCATCTTAAATACATGCTTTGTCATTTCCAGATGAATGAAGGATTCTGGTGTTCTACCATAATTTTACTTACTTAAGCCCAGGAAGCATGTGATCTGTTTCAAAAACTGTGGATCAATTCTGTATTAAAATGCCATCACTCTGCCTACTCCTTCAAAGTGCTATAAAATATACTGATGGGAACACTGGAATATTCCCCAGGTACCATGGCTGAAACAAAACTTGCATCAGAGGAGTCATTCTAAAAAAATATAAACTGCCACCTTCCCACTCAGTCTTCCCCAAGTACCAGGCAGTCCATATGCCATGTCATTTTTATCCTCTCTGGTTTTAGTCAAGGATATAAACCTGTGATAGATGAGTAATGCAATGATTGACTCTCACAATTAACAGACAAATATCATGTATATAGGTTAAGAACAGTTTTATAGATTTATAGTTATGTTTTACCCCCTAGCGTGGTTATCAAGGGACAGCTGGAGTTGGGACATCTGGGAGGGCTGGCTTGTCACCATGGTGACATCTGACCTCCAGTCAGGGTCTGAGGAAGAGATCTTCACCACTGGACAGCAAAGAAGGGGCCGGTGGACAGAACTTTGGGAGGGGTTAAAGGGTTAAAAGGCAAAACCTCCATTGTGTGGGTGAGCACATGGTGGGGAAAATCCTTTGCTCCTGGCGCTGTAATATTTTCTCTATTCAGTCTTCTGTTGTATTTTTGGATAAGGTTTAATAAACCTTTCTAAAATTATTAAAAGTGAGTAGCCATTTCTCACAAACCAAAAATAAGTCACAGACGGCATGCTAAAGGCTAAGGAAGTTTCTAGTCTAAGTGATGCAACAGAAAATAAGATGCCCTATCATGAAGAACCACATTTTATGTTTCATTTAGGTTTGACCTTGCACATGAATGTACAACTTGTGACATGTGATGTGAAAAATGCATATTTTATGATTGGCTTTTCACAAATATTAAAACAAATATTATATGTCTTGTGTTAGAAAGTAATGCTGTATTAATTCTCTTAAGTAGTGGGTTAAATATAGTTTTAAGTTATAACATAATGTTAAAGTAGAAACTATGCTATGTAGGATACTTTTTTTCTAAAGAAAGGACTTGCAGTGAGATAGCAGCTACAGGACACCTAAATCTTTCAGAAAAAGAGAATTTATTGCCCTCTTATCAGAAGAAAAGAATTTCTTCCTGCCTCACTTGGGGTTAAGCTTATGAAGAAGAAGCTGACACTGACCAGACAGAATCCTGTATCTGAATGGAATTTATGCATCATGTATGGGATGTATGAATATGCAACAGGCTGTTGTTTTTAAGGGTTAATCCTCTGTTAACTAGTGCTGCCCAGAAAAAGGTACCCGGACATCTGTAACTCTTTGTTTCTATTGTCTCATATTGTCCTAATTAAAATTGTCCAAATTATTATCACTCTAATTGTATTACCATTTTTATAACCATTTTATTACTATTAATTTTTTAAAATTTTAAAAACAAATTATTGGCGTTTTTCACATGTGACTTTAGTTAAGGCCAGAGTCAGGTCCATTAGCAGGCAAGCTTCTCTTCTTCCTCACCAATGCAAAGACAAACAGCAGCACTAGAGCATATGTTTTTTAATCAAAAGTTTATTCCTGTATTTTTCTCTAGATAGAAAATATTTGTAACCACTTAATTTCATCTGCCGTGTTTTTTAAAGCACTGTCAGACTATATAGGTCAGACTATTCTCACCTAGAATCTGTTCAATAAATTCCACCAGCAGCCAAAACATTATTTAACAAAAACAAACAAGTGAATAAAAGTGAAAACGAAAAAAAAGTACTCCAAGCAATATGAATTCCAAATCCAAGTAATTTGAATTACTACTCAATCACTATCAACTCAGTGTGAGAAACCACTTCAACAAAACATACAAGATTTCTATTCACAGATTTTTTCAGCTCAAGCTTGAAACAAAGTTCTCACTATCTCTAAAGCTTAGCTCCAGAAATTATATTATTGTACACAAACTAAGGACAGAACCCACAATTTTAGCAAGCTTTCTGGTATGTTTCAAAAATTCATGTAACATGAGACCTCAAAAGAATACCAAAGATTGTTAAGAGCAAGGAAAAAAACCAAACTGAAAACAACAAACTCAAACACTGCCTCAGTTTATTGCCAAAACATAGTTTTGCCACAGCAAATTTACACTGACTTCATGAATACAGCAGACCTTTCTTTTTAAAGTGCAAATATACTCACGAAAAGACATTCCCAATGTAGGCATAATATGAACAGCAGTAGGGAGCAGTCCCATCACAGCAGTAAGCCTTGCAGCCATTATCACACTGAGCCAAACAATCTTCTGTCGAATAAAAATAACACTCATGATGTCAAACATCAAAATCTTGCACAGCACAGCTTTGAAGAAAATGCAGTCTAACAGTTTCATACAACCACAGCACTGCCCTGTGATCTGACTCTGTAATCCTAATGGCAGCCCATGCCCACTCATTCTGCATTTCAGACTTAGGTGCTTTCCATATGGGTGTTCTGTAGCTGTCCATGTCAGTTCCTCCTTATACTTAATCCTTTAAAGTGAAAAAAATTTTTGAAATACCAGGACATCACAGACCAACTTTTTCCATCCCAGCAAGGAGTCCAGAAGAAACCTGAGTCTGGGCTGCCTGTCTTGTTGATCTGGAGGGTGGCAGGAGAGGAGGAAGCTGTCAGAGAACAGGCTATTTCTCCCAGCCTAGGGCTCCCTTACCCCTTGCCATCTGGCAGCAGCTCTCCTCACTGTGCTCCAACACCAGGGCCAGTGTGGCATGGCAGTGCCCGGCACAGGGGCCAGCAGTGCCCTCTCTGCCCCACTAAGGGCACTTGAGGCCACAAGTGCTCCCAAACCACGATGCTCTGCTGGATGAGAGCCCTTTACAACTAAGAAACACAGAAGAGCATCTATCTTTTTATTCCTATGGGAAGCTATTTTAACAGTATCTACCTCTTGTGCTGTCATGACATTTAGTGGTTTCAAAGCCCTAAGTCAGGTTCCCCCAAGAAGATGACACTGTATTGCCACTGCACTGTAAAAACATTCTTGGGGATTACCATCTCCATGGTCAAGGCTTCAGCTGCAGCCTCGATAAATTCAGAGAGAGACTGTGCCCCACACACCATCACCCTTGGTGACCTATTTGGTCGCATACTGCAGCGGCAAAGACTCGAAATCAGCGATGGCAAACCATGCTTCTGCATTCCCAACGCACTGTAGCTCCCCTTTCCCAGGCTGCAACTCACCTGAGAGGTTCTAATTCTCCCACTGCCATTACTGCCTTTCATCTCTGCTGACCCTTTTGGTTGGTGTGCTGGGATCCGGGAACCCTTCCTCACCTCAGCTTCTGCCACACTCCCATTCCTGCCCCAGGTAGGTGAAAAGTTCCCACCTTGCCCTGAGACTCCTTTGCTCACTGACTCATGCTGCTGACCCATCTCACAGCCTGACTGCTCACAGCATTTTAGCAGGTCAGCTCTCTGAACCTGCTCACACTTGGTCTCTGTTTGAAAACGAGCACCAAGAGGGCTGGAGAGGGCTGTGCAACACAGCACATTGGTCAGCCCAGGCAGAGGCACCCTAACCCTCTGAGATGGTATTAAAGAAAAACATGAAAAAAACCAGAACAATCTACCCATTATTCTGCCAACCAGCCCTACCAATGAGTGAATCAGGGCAGCCAGCAGGACACCCATCTCCAGAGGGAGAACAGCCGGCCAGGGGTAGCACAGGCACTTCTGTAGGAAGCAGCAATGCAGGACTGCCACACAGGACACCCCATACCAAGGCTTTGGCACACCCCTGTGCCAGCAGCTCCAGGCTTTTGCAGTGTCACCTCTTTTCTGGCATGGGTACTCATGGCTCCAGCTGTGCTATGCCAGGACCCTCCAGGCTCTGCCATCCCACCTCCAGGCTCTTCCCTGGTGGGAGAGCACCAAGGTGCCTTCACCCTGCACATCCAGGTCTATCCTGCGCGGGTGGGTTCACAGAATCGCAGAACGGGTCAGGTGGGAAGGGACCACGGTGGATCATCTGGTCCAACCTGAATCCTCCTAGAGCACATGTGGCATGGGATTGCATCCAGACGGTTCCTGAGCATCTCTGTTCAGGGAAACTCCACAACCACTCTGGGCCATCTGTTCCAGATGTGTGGACATCCTCATAGTAAAGTTCCTCCTCATGATCAAGCGCAACTTTCTGTGCATCAACTTCTGCACGTTGCCCTCCCCGCTCCTCTGCTCAATACCACCGAGCCTCTGCTCGCTCCATCCTCCTGGCACACCCCCTTCAGATATTTACAGATATTTATACACGTGAATGAGGTCCTCTTTCAGCCCTGTCTCCTCGAAGTCTACTCTCCCTGCAGCCAGAGAGGGGCTCCCGCTCTGCTGGGACACGCCGGGGATCCCCTTCTAACTCCGTATGCCAATTCAATCGGAAAAGCTTCCATATCTGCCCTAAACTTGGCCGGCCCCGCTCACACCCGCCGCCCGCAGCTCCGCGCTCGTCCCCCGCCCCACGCCGGTCCCGCTGACCTGCCAGAAGGAGGAGGAGGAGGAGGAGGAGGAGAAAAGGGGGAAACAACACCCCGCAGGCCGGGCACCTCTCCGTCCGGCCGCGCCGCCCCTGCCGCTCCATGCCGGCTGCAGCACGGAGCCGCCGCCCGCCTCATGGCGGGGGCGGGCCGGCCTCATGGCGGGGGAGGAGGGCAGGCGGAGCCGGGAGGGCTCCTCGTACTCTGCGGCCGCCCCCGAGCGGGGCTGGCGGGTCCTGGAATGTTGGCGGCCTGTGTCTCACTCCGGTGTTCTCTTTTCTGCCTTCCCGCCGCCTTTGTCCCGCTCGGCAGCCGTGGGTGACCCGGTACCGGTGTCACAGCGGAGGGCTGAAAGGCGGCGCCGGTGTTGTTTGCGCCGCTTTGATCATGCGGTGTTCGAGGGGGCTCCTGCCGTGGTTTAAATCGAGATTGTCTTTAAAGTGGGATTGAAACTGTGGTTGTGTGAAAAACGCCAGTCACTTGTTTTTAAAATTTTAAAACTTTAATAGTAATACAATGGTTATAAAAATAGTAATACAATTAGAGTAATAATAATTTGGACAATTTGGATTAGGACAATATGAGACAATAGAAACAAAGAGTTACGGACGTCCGGGTATCTTTTTCCGAAAAAGGACACCCGTTAACAAAGGATTTACCTTTAAAAGCAATAGCCTGTTGCATATTCATACATCTCATACATGATGCATAAATTCCATTAAAACGCAGGATTCTGTCTGGTCAGTGTCAGCTTCTTCCTCTGAATCCTGACGGCGTCCTGGATCCAGAGCGAGGCAGGAAGAAGTCGGCTTCTTCTGATAAGAGAACAATAAATTCTTTTTCTCTGAAAGATTTGGTGTCCTGTAGCTGGTATCTATCGGTGCGAGTACCTCATTCCTTTCTTTAAAATATATTCCACTTACATAGTTCCTGTTTTAACTACAGAAGTTATCTTTTAACTACAAAACTACATTTATCATACTATTAAAATGTTAATACAGCACTACTAATCAATATGCGAAAAACGCCAATCACTTGTTTTTAAAATTTTAAAAAATTAATAGTAATAAAATGGTTATAAAAATAGTAATACAATTAGAGTGATAACAATTTGGACAATTTGAACTAGGACGACATGAGACAATAAATACAAAGAATTACAGACGTCTGGGTACCTTTTTCTGGGCAGCACGAGCCCAGAAAATGACACCCGTTAACAAAGGATTAACCCTTAAAAGCAACAGCCTGTTGTATATTCATACACTTCATACATGATGCATAAATTCCATTCAAATACAGGATTCTGTCTGGTCAGTGTCAGCTTCTTCCTCTGAATCCTAACAGCAGCTTCAAGGCGGGAAGAAGTTCGTTTCTTCTGATAAGAGAGCAATAAATTCTTTTCTCTGAAAGATTTAGGTGTCCTGTGGCTGCTATCTTGCTGCGAGTCCTTTCTTTAAAAAAGTATCCTACATACCATACTTTCTATTTCAACATTTTTTTATTACTTAAAACTATATTTAATACAGTAGTTAAGAGAATTAATACAGCATTACTTTCTAACACAACACATATAATATTCATTTTAATATTTGCAAAAAGCCCATCATAAAATACATTTATTTTTCCCACAATACAGCAAAATACATACAGGAAATATCTGTGTAGAGCCATATAATATGCACTTTTCACAGGCTGGTTGTGACCTGAGATCAGAGGCATGGCCTGTTTATGCCATGGGGCCACAGCGTGTTCCCAAACCTCAGATGGGCTCGTCTGTACTGCCCAGCAATGAATATGTTCCGTGTCCAGGCCAGAACAATGCTCCTAAGTGCTCTTCAGGAGTGATTTTTGATAACTATTTAAATGCTGTCAAAACTCACACCCCTGTCAAAATTTCCACAGATGAGGCCCAGAGGCCAAAATATTTGCTTTGTGGTCTCACAAAGCAGAAGAGTTTGCTCTGACTTCACATGAACAGCTGCAGGTTGAAGAATGTGCTTTGAAAGGCTGAAATATGCACACAAGAAATGAAAAACATCCACAGGTTTTTTCACTCATAAAAGGTTTCCTGCTGTTGGCTGCTCTGAGGGGAAGGCTGACACAGAAACATAGAATGAATCTCCTTTCCCAGACAGACCTGCCGTCAGGTTTTTTCACTGTCATGTCTTTGTTGCAAGCATCCAGCAGCTACTCTAATTGAAAAAAACTCTAGAAGGAAAAGCCAGTCCAGGGATGCACCTTCTGCGTGCCCCACTTACAGCACACCAAACTCATCTGTCCTTCCCTTCTCCACTGCATCTACCATTGTATCCTCTGGATCTTGGAGCCTAAAGGCAGGCACAATTGTTTCCACAGAGGGTTTGGAAGAAGCATAGGTAGCAGCACAAGTAACTCTTGCTGAATTTTAATCCTTATGACTGCCACGGTGAATTCTATTGGTAGGCCTGATGCCTTGGGGTTTAGCTTTTATATTTTTCAGATTGTGTACTGCTTTAGTGTGTAGTTCTGAGCTTCATATTAGGGGATAGTAAGCTCTCTTCATAGTGTAGGTAGACAAAACAATTCCTTCTCTAGGTGGGGACCAAGGACAAACAATCCAAATCTCAGGCCGAAGAGCAGTTACAAAAGTAGAAATATTCAGCAGCTGGTCCCGCAGAAAAAAGTCCTAGAAGAAAATGAGCCAAGCTAGAATTCCCCTTTTTTTGCAGCCTACCAGATGCACAGCCAACAATAAAATTATTTGTTTTCCTTCCCAGTGCTATACCCGGTCATGTTCTTTCGGTCTCAAAGAGCAGGGATCCTCAACAGAGATCTTACCGTAACTGCTCCCACACTAATGGGACAGAAAAACACTTGCCTTTTTCCTGGGCACCGTGAGCACTCATAAAAACAACCACACGATGACGCTGTCAACTTGGAAAGAAAAAAAAGTTTTTAAAGGACACCTCGCCTAGCTCTAATCCATGCCAAGTGCAGATCCAAGTTGAAAACGTTGCTGATCTCCAATCAGCTATGTCAGGACAAAAAGAGTTCGATGATCTTCCCCTTCCAAGTGCAGACTCGTATTTGCACCACACTCCAAAGGCAACACAAACTCATTTGCGCTAATAAATCTTTTCACTCTCACAGAGTCAGTTACAAACTTGAACATATCAGGCAAAAAGCAGCTCACAAATATGTCAGCTGAAAAAGCTCTTTCCACCTAAAACTTCAACCAAACCCATCCAACTGCATCCATCGAAGAGAGGAACTTCTCAAAAGCTCTTCTCAAAAGAAATGGCATACTCTCCTCCTAAACAGTCAACCTCCAGGGACTGATCCCATACAAAGGTGCCAGAGCCTTGTTACCAAGCATTCCCTGCCCCAGGCCTATATCAGCTGCTTACCAAGACCGAGCATGGAGAGTGCTTACCTTGCCCAAAGTAAGGGCACTGCCAGAATTCCAGAAGATCACCTCTGAGGAGTGGAAAGCACATCCTTATTTTGTACTAGAGGATGTACTACATCTCTCCCCGTTGGACAGTGTGAGGACCATTGTTCCTGCCTAGGTCTTTTAAATGTTCCACTGATCAAAATTAAATTAAATTAAATTAAATTAAATTAAATTAAATTAAAAATAAAATTAAATAAAATTAAATTTAAAATAAAATAAAAGTAAATTTTAAATAAAATAAAAATAAAATAAAATAAAATAAAATAAAATAAAATAAAAAACACTACAAAACCACCATGAACATCTCTGAAGATGGAAGGGATAGGCAGTTCCAGACCAGCCACAGGCTGAAATTTCACCTGCACTTTAAAAAAATTTATTGTGATGTTCCAGTTAAATCTGGTATCTTTTAAGGACATTTGGCACACTTAAGGTTATTCCTGGCCTGGTGGCCAGAAACACCTTAGCTGCAGTCTTGCTCCACACCATTGGGTGTCATCTTAAAACCACCAGTAGCTTTATCCAGGCTGTATTTCAGTCTATTCTTGCTGTGCTTTCCAACAGGAATTTCTTGAAAAGGTGCTGTCCTCTTTTCCCTACTGCTATGAGTATCCTTAAAATTGCAAATGCAGGCAGACATCTAGCAGTCTGGGTTTGTGCAGCATGGAGGAATAAGGAGGCTTGTATGAAATGGGGGCAGAGATTTTATTGTACCTGCAGTAATAGAACAAGTGTGAATGGTTTTCAGCTGCAAAAGGATACATCCAGACTAGATATAAGGAAGAAATTTTTTCACTCTGAAGGTGGTGAGGCACTGGCGCAGCTTGCCCAGAGAAGCTGTGGCTGTCCCATCCCTGGAAACATTCCAGGTCAGGTTGGATGGGGCTCTGAGTGATCTGAACTAGTTAAAGGTGTCCCTGCTCATTGCAGGGGGGCTGGAACTGGGGGATCTTTAAAAGTTCCTTCCAACCAAACCATTCTGTGATTCGAAGAAACTCACAGTAATGGCAGCACAAGTCTGGGAATGGCTGCTGCGGAAAAGAGTGTGTTTGGGTGGGGCTTTTTTTAATTGTTTTTTTTTTGTTTGTTTGGTTGGTTGGTTGGTTGGGTTTTGGTTTTTTTTGGTTTTTTGGGGTTTTTTTTGCTGTTGTTTTTTTTTCTTTTTTTTTTTAATCCTAGATGAAGTTTGTTTTAAACAAACTTAGGTCCAAGGTGGCTTTCCTGAAGTAGAACCAGTAGCAGGGCCAAGACACTGGAGTCTGTTTTAATCCAGATTACTGGGTGGTGGAAAACAGTCTACACGTGAATGTAAAAGCCCTTCATGGGTGCCCTGTGCTGTCTGTACAGAATTCTCTGTACAGAATTCTCTGTGTAGCATTTTAGCACCTTGAGCAGAAAAGTTTGAAGCAGACTTATGTCCTTGCTTTGTAGTAGATGGAGGCAATGAGAGCATGGATGTACTGTGGGAAAAACAGAGGGGTCAAAGCTGGTGTTTGATTGCAGCCCAAATATTGAACACAGGTCCAGATTCCTTCCCAAAACCAAATCAAGTTCACCTCTGGTTACATCTGTCTAAAGATACACAGAGGTGAACATGAGGGGTACGTGGAGGGGAGGAAGGGTGGCTTTTGGGCCCTAGGAGAAGCACTGAACTCGTCACCCAGCTCCACTACAAATCTCACCTTGGTCAAAACTCTCAGCCTCGTTACAGATGGGTCCTGACCTGCTAAAAAGAGACTGTCACAGCAGCATGTAGGCATCTCACAGAGAAGAGGATCTATAGCTCAACAGAGCCTCTGTCCTTGAAAAAGCCTCAAGTTTGTTTATGATAGAGGTTTCATGATAATAAATCCCCTAACAGTTGAGGTGGGACGGGTCACAGGACAGAGAGAG